AAAAAAAAAAAGAAACAACCTTCCCAGCACCTCTTTTCAGTGCTACGTGCCCCTCAAGGGTAACCACTATTCTAACTTTTAACATTTTGCCTGTTTTTTTTGAGCTTTAATAAATGGAGTCAAAAGCATGCACTCTTTTGTGCCTTGGCTTCTCTTGTGTAATATTATATTTGTGAGCTCATCCGTGTTATTGCATGTAGTTGTGGCTTGTTCGTTCTCAGTGGTGGGATGATATTCCATTGTGTGAATATGCTGTAACTCATTTATCCATTTAGTGTTGATGGACTTTTGGTAGGTTCCAGCATTTTTTTTTATCACTACGAGTGCTGCTGTTAACATTCTTATAAATGTTTTTTGGTGTATACATAATTTCTGTTGGGTAGGAGCAGAATCCTACATGTAGGAGTAGAATTCCTGTTTATAAGGTATGCATATTTTCAGTTTTCATAGATAGGATCAAATAGTTTTCTAAAGTGGTGTACTAGTTTACATTCCTACCAGTTTGTGTATTAACTCCTTGTTATAAAACTCCTGTTTTAACTCCTTGTCAAACAAAGTCTGATAATCGAAGGTGTTAGAGCTGCACTGTCTGGTATGGTAGCCACTAGCCACATGTGGCTGGCTACTGAGCACTTGAAATATGGCTAGTCTGAATTGAGATAAACTGTAGGTGTAAAACACACACTATATTTTGAAAACTTAGTACAAAAAATGTAAAAATATCTCATTAATTTTTATATTGCTAACATATTGAGATGATTTTTTGATGTGTTGGGTTAAATAAAAAGATAATTAATTTAACCTGTTTCTTTTCACTTTTTAAGTTTGGCTGGTTAGAAAATTTTAAATGGCTTATGTGGCTTACTTTTTATTTCTACTGCACAGTGTGTTCTTAGTGGGTTGGGTGGAAGACAGATGGGAGCAGAATTCTCTGGTTCTCAGAAGGTTCATTATTATCATTCATTATCTGTTTAGAATAACACCTTTTCTGTTAACTTAAAGTTTGTTACATTGTTTTCAGATATCTTCTATATGTTTTATTGAAATCTTTGTATGTGGGAAGTCTTGTTTAGCATAGCGATTATACATTTTTTTTGGTTTGATATATGTATATATTGTGAAATGATTACCACAGTAGGTTTAGTTAACACCCAATCAGCTCACATAGTTACACATATTTTTTCTTGTGATGAGAACTTTTAAGATCTCTCTTAGCAACTTTCAAATACACAATACAGTATTAACTATAGTCAGTGTGCTGTATATATTACATCTCCAGAACTTACTTACCTTTTTAACTGAAGTCTGTACCTTTGACCACCTTCGCCCATTTCCCCCACCCCCATCTCCCTCCTCAGGCAACCATCAAACTGTTCTGTTTCTATGAGTTTGTTTTTTTTGATTCAACGTACAAGTAAGATCATACTGTATTTGTCTTTCAGTGTCTGATGTGTTTCATTTAGCATAATGTCCTCAAGGTCCATCACATTGTCACAAATAGCAAGATTTTCTCCTCTATTATGGCTGAATAATATATACCTGTGTGTATGGCAATTACACTCTTAGTTGGTGATACTAAGAATATTTCAGATAGGTACAGACTGTGCAGAACTTAAAACTTTTATCACTTGATTGTCTTTTGCTTTGCCAAGCAATAACTAGTTCCTCTTAATGTGGAATCATAGTGCTCTAACTTGCATGTGTGTCAGGAAAGGTGATATTTCAGGAACCTGAATGTTACTAGGGCTTGTAGGACTCCCTGGAGCCATAGATACGAGAGCAGTATATACTGAGTCCTCCTTGCATTACTTGTGAGTTACAGGTGCAGCCACCATGGTGCCACCTCCTTGGCAAAGGGGAGGAGGAGGAGGGGAGACTATAC